GAAGGAAGGAAGGAAAACTATAAACCAATGTCTCTCATGCACTTACATGCAAAAATCATCAGAAAGAGTGTTTCAAAGAAATAGGCCTAGAATGCACTTTGGATGGACATTCCACCACTGGAGATAATATCAGGGAGGTCTTTCTGATTCAGGTTCTAAGGAGCATTGTGTGTTTCCCACACCACTGTCTCTTTATGATACATACTGTGTGCCACTAAAATAATATTTAAGTTTCACAAATATGATATCAGGTTAAATACTTGGATTATCAACAAAGGTCTGAGACCAAATATCAAACTTAGAAACTGGCCTCACCAGACAAAACTGGATTATCTTCAGAATCCTTTCTTGCAAATACACGTGCTGTTCTTTTTAGCCATATTTCCTTAGCATCTATCTTTATCTGTTGTCTCTCTCTCCATCATAGGGGAATTTACTGCTAAACAGTGATATTTAGCATTCCACAATTGAGGAAGAACAAGACTCTGGCCTTTCCATCTCTCCCTACCAGTGGTGGGGTGGTGTGGGGTAGAGGATGGAATGGAGAAGAGGAGGACAAAGATTATGAGTTAGACTCAGGTTGTACTAAATGCTAAGGAGTGAATAAGGCCATTCCACAGCAGGGAGTAATATTTCTAGAATGTTTTCTTGAACACTAGTGGTTAAATAGTAGTTTTTGATAGTCAGACTAAACTATAATGCAACCCTTGTCTAATAAAAATATAGTCAACTCTTGTGAAAGAGTATTTTATTTGGGACTTTCTGTTCTTAATTAAAGGAAGCATCCTAGGAAGCAGTTTGTTAGTGTTGCTCTCAAATGTCTACTCTTGACCCCATCTTACCTGCAGAATATAGCGAATCTGCTGTTTGGTAAACTCTGACAATCCTTTAGGAATCAATGATTCAATGTCTTCAGACTATAAGAAAAGAGAGGCTTATCCATTGAACAGATATATATATTAGCATTTTAATCTTAGTGTCAGCAGTCCATAGACTTTTGTGTAATGGAGTATATTGTTAGGGATATTAAAAGAGTAACTCACCTTTTAAGAAATAGTTTCTACGAATTTCATTTCTAGCTTTATTGGTTCTTACTTTTAAAAAATCAATCATATTACATACACCATAGAAAGAACCCTGAATTCCAGGCATTTTAGGGAGAAGCATTGGGCAACCAATCAGATGTTCCATTTCTATTTTTAAAAGGAACGGTTTAAAAAGAAAATGGTCTATTAAACATCATTAAACACTTCATTCATTGTCTCTTTCAACAACTGGAAATTTTGTTGGGTGATATATATTGCATTTTACAGGCTGATTTTTTTAATAAAATAAAATTAGGGGTGGTATAGGATTTATTGAGAATTTACATAGAGCTGTGGTAACTTTTGAAAGATTATGATGTTGCCTCAGCAACACTGAGAAGCTTCAACTAATTTTAAGTGAGAAGCTGAATTAAAAGTATGTACTTCTTAGAGATAGTTTAGGACTAACTGAATTATTGTAACAGATGCAGTATAGCAATACATTGGAAATAAAGATAAAAATTAACACAAAGAGGCAATTGTGCTTTTTATTGCATTGAAATTAGTTCTTTCTCTGTGTGATTACTTATTCTGTTAAAAGCAATTATGAACAAAATGAACATATGTAACAGGATTAATACTTGAAAAATTTTTACTTCAGGTTACTGGTTATTTGGTGTGACACATACAAGGTTTTGAAGCATTTTAAAACTAAATTTGCTATTTATTTAGTTAATCATGTAGATTCCAGCTTTCTAAAGCAGAAAGTATATGATCAATAAAATTTTAAATATTCTGATAAGCAAGACAAGTTAAATCATAAAGTGACTGATAAAACATTTTTTGTGAATACTTATTACTTTTATAGCCATTACAAAGATGTAAATGGTTGTATCATTTTAAAGGCAAAATGATTCTTACACTAACCTATGTTTTCAGTCTAATAAAGGTCTTAAACTAAAAGAACATTATTAGTGCAAGTATCAGAATCTACTTTGTTATCTGCTATATTTAATTTTCAACTATATTTGCACTTACCTCATCTGTAGACTCAAAGTCCTGTTTGCTGCGGGAATGAAAAAAAAAGATAGACAACCACAGGAAAACATATTCACTAATCATATATAAATGATTGTGTTCTATTAATAGTATCTTACTTTTTGATATGTCATAATGGCACTGATTCAATTTATAATTACAAATGAAAATAATTTTCCTGGAATTAGCTGATCTATTAAAAATGAACAACATCTGAACACCAAAACAATAAAATATGCAGAAATGGTTAGTGCCATCCATTAGCACCAGTTCATTTGTGGCTACATTAGAAGTCCTTGATGCTTGACAATAAATACTACGTGGGCGAATAAATATCAATAATAGTTTTTCTCTATTTCCACCTTCTTTTTCCCCTTCTTGTATTGTACCCTTTCAGTTCTGATTCCAGCTCCTTTCCAATGTGTTTTTAAATTCTTCATACCATTTTTATCAAAATCAAAACTTGGAAGACAAACCTGAGTAACTTACTGAATCTATATTAGAGTATATTTAGCAGTGATGAGGCTGGAAGGGTATTTGAATCTCTACATAGGGACAAAGCCTTAGGCAAAATGGCTAAAATTCTAGTGGGATAATAGAATTTCCAGCATCATAACAAGGATTTGGCCATGGAGATTGAAAGGCCCTTTGTGAAGTCATGTTCGGTAGGCAAATTCTGGAGAATTGCTAGTGGTTCTATCAGACTGGCACTTACCCCTTTAGGAATGGTGAAAACTGGAAAGAATACAGTTCTAGTGTTGTCTCTGGCAATAGTTGGGCCTTGATTTTTGTCTACTTGCTCCCTCTCCACTTGGTAGAATTGACACAAAATACATATGGTGAACATACTTCTAAACAAAAAGACCAGTACACATGTTCTGACAGCAAGACAGAATACTTATTTTAAAGTAAAAGTTTTGGTATGTTAGCTTCTACCATTACTATCTAAGTAATTGTTTATGAGTAATATATTGCTTATAGAGATTAAGGGGGTCACTCATTGTGCAAAATCTCTTGCATACACTTATAAAATACTCAAACTGGTATGGAGAAATAGAACTGAAGATTCTACTTCCTAATGCATGATTTCATTATGTGCAAGTGTCTGCATGTATGTATGTGTTATTTCCTGTGTTGCCCAAAACTGCAGTTGTGGGGAGGCCCCAGCAAAAATTGAAATACCTTCTCGTTTTTTAATGTTTTACTAAAGTAACTGCATGCATATATCCAAATATAAAGCAAGTTAAAAACCTGTATCACGATGCAGTTTCAGCAGCCTTGCATTACTGTTAACTGGAATTAT